ATGTTGTAGAATGCCGATGAGACGATGGCTGCTATGCTTTCGCTCGAGTCAAGCCGACGGCCATCATGCCATAGAACGTGAAGTAAAGCAGTGTGAAGTACATGAAGAACAGGTACCAGAGGAACTTGGCAACAGTCCACTCAAATCCAATCATTGAATAGACTAACACTCCATATAGCAAAGTCTGGACAAAGATATAAGGAAATTCAATCACGACCTGCAAAAAAAACAAGGCAAAATCGTTAGGTTCTTGGGCCAAAAGAATTCAGATTTCATCCTTCACGTCCACAAGCTTGGAACTACAATGGTGAAGAGAGTAACACAAATTACCTGTCCAAATGCATACGGGAAAGCTGAATACATGCCCGCTGCTCGTTCTCGGTAGAAGACTGTTCGCTCCACCACCACCACTGGTTGAACCGAACCAGAGTTCTGAATTCCAATGTATATAACTGCTGCGTACATGGATCCCATGGCATTGAACAGATCCTGTTGTTTTTTACTGCACCAAAGACACGAGTAAGGCGTTAGAAAATATACTTCACGGTGTAGCTATTATTGCCTTACAGATCTGCAGATAGAATAAAAGTTAGATGATATACATTTTTTGTCCAAGGTCCCAGAACATGGTTCCAAACATGAGCGCAATGACGATGGTGAACAGTAACCTAACTGCTGTGTAAGATGGGTTCCTCCAATATGACTTTTTCTGCTTCCAGAAGCAAGCTAGGCACTGAGTAAAGAACGATCTGGAGTACTGTGTAGGGAAATTCAGATCACTAGAGCCAGGAGGTGGTGTGCTCAGCTCCTCTATGAGTGCCTTGTTCCTTCTGAAATAATGAAAATGAAAATCAGTTAGATTAATCTTTCAAAGACACCTATCCTCGGCTTTGGTTCTGCATTGCATGCCAGGAGGCTTACTGGTATAATTCTGATTGCCTGTAGATTTCACTAAAATCAACCCCAAGGTTCTCTTCTTGAGAACTAGAGGTCACTTCCAGCATCCATGTGGCTGGGTTATATCCATCCTTTATCTTGCTAATACCTTCAATTCCCTGAACAAATAATAGGATTTTTTTCATTTGGTTTAGCAGGCAATTGGGGTTAAAACATGCAGTGATAACTGTTCATTTACTTCTCTTCTCACCTCAAAGTACTCAATCAATTTTGACGAGTTCTGGCCCACTGGACCAACATATATCTCTTCTCCACCTCTCTTCATTAAGAAAAGCTGTAATTCAGACATAAACAAACAGTCAATATATGATCTTGTCTAACAATATCACCCGCTCTTACACACAGACAAGAACAAGAAGAATCAGTCACCTCATCAAATGCTTCAAATATGTCAATGCTTGGCTGGTGAATGGTGCAAACGACAGTCCTTCCAGTATTGACAGTGTTCCTTACAGTCCTCATCACAATTGCAGCTGCACGAGCATCAAGGCCGGAGGTTGGCTCATCCATGAAAATGATCAAGGGTTGGCAACAAGCTCCACAGCAATAGTTAGCCTCTTGCGTTGCTCAGTTGACAGGCCACTCACTCCAGGAAGCCCAACAAGTGCACCCCTCAGTGATGTGAGCTCTACAAGATCCATGACCTCCTCAATGAACATCTGTTATGATGAAGTTTAGCAGATAAGATCTACAATCAGTTAAGGAGAAAAATCCAAGACCTGATTATTTGCTTGTATTTGTTACTAACCTTTCTTGTTTCTAAGTTGACATCTAAAGGAAGGCGTAGCCATGCAGAAAATAGGAGCGACTCATACACTGTTACATGTGGAGAATGAATATCATTTTGCTCACAGTATCCTGATATGCGTGCAAACGTCTCTTGCTTCTTTGGATATCCTGAGATGGTAATATCTCCCTCAATATAGCCCCCAGTCTTTCTGCCAGCTAAGACATCCATAAGGGTGGTCTTTCCAGCACCACTAACACCCATCAATGCAGTTAGGACTCCTGGCCTAAAAGAACCACTAACACCCTTCAAAAGAAGCAAACGATCTTCTGTCACTCCTTGTGCTTTCATCGCCTGCGTGTAAAAAAATATGATCAGGTAAGAAATCTAGGATATATCGTATATTTTTGTATTTCAACTTCATGGAAAAGAAAATTACCTCTGGCATGTCCACCGAGTATCTTATGTCATTAAAGGTAAGTGACAATGGTGGAAATGGGAGGGCCATTCCTTTCCTGTTCTGACTAGAATCCTCACTGCTATGCACAGAGTTTTGGCCAACGCTGTGGGACAGCTCCAACTCCTGCCTCCTCGATTTCTTTTCCTTATGGCCCTCTATGACTTCACCAGTTAGGTTGGCATGTTTTTCTTTCAATTCATCTTCAGACATTGATCCATGGGAATCAGTGAATGCTGTCAGAAAAAGCAAGTGGCTACAGTTACAATCTTTTAACTCAAATCACTGAATCTCTAATTTTGGCTGTTATATACATAAAAAATATGTCTTATAAATATGCTTACGACTCAAAACCGCAAGAGCTACAGTGTAGAGCAGGTTGAAGAGGAGAGTATATCCAACCAAGGCACCGAGCCCAATCCAATACCACTTAGCTTCAGTAAAGACGCCGCGATTTCGAAGAACAACAATTCCCACGGTTGTTCCATTTTGAATCTGTACCAAGAAAACACATGTTAGTTTTTCTATTTACCATGTTGTTAATCCTTCTGCTGCTCAAGATATGGTGTACTTACTTTGCTCCAACTGTGCCCCAAAAATTCATTTGCTGAAATGGCATTCTGTGCATATGATAGAGGAGAGATCCAGTAACCCCAAATCCACCATTTCTTCACATCAGCTGGAAAAGAGAGACATAAGTCAAGATAAACATATAGATGAGAACATCATTCATTATTTTGAAAGAAACAAGAACATCAATCATGTTATCACGGAAAGTTGAGTTACTTACGTCTTGCAAGTATAAAGCCACCCAGTGTTTGAAAAGCCAACAGTGCTAAGGGGCCAAAGGTATGAGACACAACCATGTCTCTTCCAATTCCAGCAATGAAGCGGAAAAGAGCAGATGACATCTGATTGAGTGCAAGGAGCAGCAGATACTGCTTAAAGAACCTGATGACAAACAATCGCTCAGACTTCATATAACAAACTTATTTATCATTCAATGTTCAATTTGATTATTTCTAATTAGAAACAATTAAGTGTCATGAAAGGAGCATATTTCATGGATTCCGAGACATAAGACATGTGTTCTAATGCATCTTACCTGATCACACTGGGATCAAATCCAATGACATAGTATGTGGTGAAAACATAAACCCCAACTTCCAAAAATGTGATAGGGATCTGAAGAATCCATGACGGTATGGTGTAGGCCCAGGCAGGGAAGAAGAGAAGATCCTCTGCTTGAAGAAAAAAACCGAAGCTTCATGACAGTCATGGCAAGCTCTGCGAAACCATTGAACATGATTGTGTCGAGGGCAAAGAAGAGTGCTCCCATGTAGATGCCTCCATAAGATTCTTCTCGTTTCATATTGGTACGGAAAAATGTGGTCATCACGATAAACGACATAACAGTAAGCTGCAACAATAATGGAAAAGTTCAGATTGAAGCCATCTAATCTGTACCTTAATAATCAGAATAAACATAAAAAAAATTGAGCTTACGTTAACAGACTTGAAAATATAAATAAATGCATTCCTCTTCATGAGTAGAAGCTCCCTATCAATAGTGGCTTTGAGCAACTCCTTCCTGCTGACACCAAACTTTGAAGTAGCTAGAGCAGCAGGGTGGCTCCGGGTCCTATCAAATGGCTCTGAAAGATCATTTTGTATGGACCGGCCCACGTGGAATGTACTGAATGCATCTGCAAATTTCTTCACAGGCACAAAACGGTATGGCCTGTCCTGCCGATACCAATACTGCCCCTGGTCTTTCCTTGATGTCACCTTTTGAATAAGTGAAACATATTAGTGCAGTTCGTCTTTAAAAATCAAAATCACTAGATGACAGGATTTATAGATGATGCACATACTTCCTGCAAGAAGTCAGCAACACCCTTTCTGGCAGGGCATCTGAAGCCCATGAACTCAAAGAACTCGAGCACATGTTCACGGGGGCCCTGGTATACAACTTGCCCATCAGATAGGAGTATAATGTCATCGAACAAGTTGTATGTTTCAGGCGCTGGCTGGAGCAAGGAAATGACTGCAGTTCCATCAAGGATGTGGATAGTCTGCCTAAGTGAATTCACAATTTGGTATGTGGTTGAGCTGTCCAGTCCAGTGGATATCTCATCCATGAACAGAGCTCTTGCCGGACCAACAAGCATTTCACCTAAGTAGTGAAGACATAAGGATGTTAGAACGTGTTTTCGAAAGCGTTTTACAGTAAAATACAAAATTTAGGGAAAAAAGGATGCCATGGGTTTGTATTTTGATCATTGCTTGTACCTGTTGTGACACGCTTTCGTTGACCACCAGAAATACCCTCATCATTTCATTTCCTACCACCGTATCAGCACACACTTCCAAGCCTAATATCTGCAGGTATAAATAGGCAAGCAGCAGGTATGATATCTCAATTTCGTGATAACAGTAGTCATCTTTGTTGTGTTACAGCTGGCAGACTGTACCTTCAGTATGTAGTCTGTAACAATACTGGATTCTTGCCCACCCATAGCTGAGGCCTACAGAAGTTTATAGTTAAATAGCTGTTACCAAGTTGCAAATAAACAGGTAGGAGGTGACATATATGACTGTCCACATTAAGTGCTGAAACATTCCTGTTTTATACTTGCATAAATAGTTTTATCAAGCACAGAATGCTCTTAAAATGTGTAACAGCCTCACCTTCATATAGACATCAATATCATGATCTGGCTTGATGTTCGCTGCCTTCTCCCTTCTCGCCAACTCAGTCAGCATTTCTACAGCAAGGCAAACAACAAAGCTTAGTACTAATCCAAGCGATGGCATAACCCATCCAATGGTCTGAAATAAACGAAACCACGCGCGTACCATATCTAGTGCCAACACCTTGGCAGCGCGCCGAGAAGGCCAAGGTCTCCCTCACAGTCATCTCCCCGATGTGGAGATCGTGCTGGCTTATGTAGGCCGCTGTCCTCTCCGGGACAAACTCTATCATCCCGTGCCCATTGTAGGTAACCTTCCCTGAAACCCTGAGGTCCTTGTCGAGCTTCCCTGCCAATGCCAGGAGCAAGGTGGTCTTGCCTGATCCTGGGGGTCCCAGCAGCAGAGTCATCCTCCGGGGCTTGACGATCCCGCTGACGTCATGGAGGACGGTCATCGGCCGCTTCCTGCTGGGCAAGATGTGGAGCGCGTTCCCGATGGACTGGGGAAGGGAGAAACACCAAAGATACTTCCATTTTAGTACGGAAGGACGCATAAATTAGATGCTGCAGTGAACAATCACGCAGTCGCAGCGACTAAGCAAGAAGCAAGTGGAGCACGCACGGAAGGTGCTCGAGGAAACGCCGCAGAGGCCCTTTCCGGCGTCGCGCCGAGCGCCCGCCATGATGGGTTGTCACTCCTCGCGGTGTGGATGGAATGGAAACGCGACGGCCGGGACGGACAATGAGCGAGCGGGGTAGGCGCCGCCGCTAGGAGGAGCGGCGGTGGCGGCTATGGGTGGTTGGTGGTGGCCTGGCGGGAGAGGTCGGGTGGAATGGAATTAACTTTGCCCCGATTTGTTTTTTTTGTTTTTAGTAGATGGCAGTTAGTCAGTTAATCGGGGGAAAGGGTTCTGTGGACCACTGGGCCTGGTTGGAGTGGTTTGTAGCAGAATATTGGGCTTTTGTTGGGCTCCACTGAATCTGGTCCTTTTTTTTTTTGAATCAATCTGGTCCTTTTGTTCAAAACATAAACTCAAGAAATTTGAAGCTGCTGTCAATCAAGAGAAATTAAAAAAAAAAAACTGGGAAAAAGGTTGTTGCCTTGTTCGTTAGCTTGATGCAGCTGTTGATGGGTGGCTAGCTTGCGAGAAGCCGGGATGTTTGAATGGTTGAACCCGTGGTTGGTGGCTTTATATTAACACTCAAAGTAGCTTGAATGGTTTACGGGTTCACTGCAACTAGCATTAACACATAAAATACTGTACACACCATCGTGGCGCGTCGCCTTCATTCCCACGAGGCAAATCGACATAGTATATCCGTTGCTCCGTCGTTGACCAGACCCAGAGACTGACAACCGGAAAGGGTCACTGGTCACTCTCACCTACCAGGTACCGTACGTACCCAGCTACCGACCGAGTAAGAACGTGTGCAACTTGTCTTGCATCAAGAAAAGGAAAAAAAATAGAAACGGCTATCTACCCCATCAGATGCCTTTCCCGCTCCGGCGTCGTCGCTGTCGACCACAAGCCAAGTAGACATAGAGAAACAGGGGCTGTACGTATGCAGCCGGGCTGGCTAGCTGCTAGCTGGCCCTACGTACCGTGACACATGCATGCACGCTTCGAGCCGCCGTACGTACGTCGTCGACACGTACAGTATATATAATTAAGAAGTGTTTGTTTAGAAAACTAAAATTATTAAAGGAAAAGGAAATCCGATGCAGTGAATGGCCGGATTGTGGATCGATCATGAGACTTAATAAGCTCATCATGCATGCTTGGCTGTATATACGCATGTAGGAGTGTACCTCGATGGTGTTGGTGACGGAGTTGATGAGCGTGGGTAGGCCCCGGTCGCCGACGTGCACCTGCGCCTGGACGTGCAGGTTCTCGTAGCGCACCTCGATGGTGGGGTAGTCGATGCCGACGCGGTCCATGCGCTCCCTGAGCTTGAGCAGGAAGCGCTCGTGGTCGTCGTCGGCGGCGCGGACGAGGCGCTCGATGAGGGCGCGGGACTCGCGGGCGCCCAGCCGCGCCACGTCCACCTCCGCCACCACCTTCTCGCCGCCGCCGTCGGCCTCGGGCAGCGCCAGGATGCCGCGCCGCACCCGGTCGAACGTGGGCAGACGCTCCAGCGCCGCCCACCGCAGCGCCTCCTCGTCGTCCTCCTCGCCCTGGAACGACCGAGAGGACTGGCGCGAGAACACATCGTCCCCGCGACGCCACAGCGAGCTGTCGCGACGAAGGCTCCTCACCCGGTGGATCTCCCGGTCCATCTTCAATTCTTGATGGATCCGGCCGGCCGGCGGCACGCACTACTTCTTCAGCTCCTAGCCAGCCAAAACTAATCTCCTTGTTGGATTATATCGGGTTGATGTATATGTGCCAGGCTGCCTGCCTGCCTTTGGTAGGTGCCTAGGCTTTCGGCTTTGCCTAGCTCTCTCTCTACCTCTGCATGTATTGAGCTTCTTGCCGGAGGAGAAGAAGCTGCTATATATGCGGAGGCCGTGGCTGTGCGAGGTTGGTGAGGGCCAGCCAGTACACATCTTAACTCATTGTCAGCCTTGACCTTGACTCTGTCTCTCTCGCACATGCATATGCTACCTTAGGCTCTGTTCGGCTTGGATATGCTGACGCTAGTTAGCTTCGACTTGGCACGGGCTGTTGCTGCCTTTGATTACATTTTATTATTATTTATAGGAGCCTTAATTCAGTAAGCTATTCACGCGCTGTCTATACACCTGGCATCACCGGCGAGTTTGTCTTGTCTTGTCGATCTGATCCAGCCATCACGCGCGCATGGAGGCGGTCAGCACCACCCGCACGGGCCCCACCGTCTGCGACAGAGGAACTCATTCCTTCGTTCGGGGCTGCTTCCTCTCTTTGTTCACTGCAGCGGTAGCGGTTGGTGTTGGGTACCTCTGATGTATGTGTCCGCTTGCGCGCTTGGCGGCTTGGGTCACTCGTTCATCCCGTACTATATTGCTATGCTCCATTGTTTTGACAACAAACCATCCCTCAGCCTGTTTGGTTGACTGGTTTGTATTATTGCTGGTTCGTGAAGAAGTACTGCTGGCTGGTTTGTGTGAGAGAAAAATACTATTCCGACTAAAAATTTACGATCGTTTACGACAAGCCACAGCTAAACGAACAGGCTGACCTGTCCAGCGTCTAGCTAGGATCCATCCATGGGTAGGTGCTCAGCAGGGCCGTCGGATCATTAGTTCATTACTGATTCGGCGGCGTGTGACGTTACATCAGTCGAGCTGCATGTGTCAGCATGGATATACAGCCTGTTCGACATCCTGTAACTGGTTGTATCTGGCTTGGCTTATCAGTCAAGCAATAGTATTTTTCTCTCACACTAAACCAGTCAGCAGTACTTTCAGCCCATGGCTTATAAGCCAATCCGACTGAAATGAACAGGCTGATAATGTTTTCACCGTCCCCGAGAGGAAAGATGACCCTTGACTGGTAGGTGATTCCGATCGCTCGATTAACAATGAGGCCCTGTTTAGTTCATCCAAAATAACAACTTTGACACTATACAAAAAGAAGATTCCCCGTCACATCAAACTTGTGGTACATGCTTGAAGTACTAAATGTTGACGAAATAAAAAACTAATTGCACAGTTTGGTTGTACTTTACGAAACGAACGTTTTAAATCTAGCTAGTCAATGTTTAGACAATTATTACCAAATAAAAACGAACAAGTTATTGTGCAACTTGTGACCGACTAAACGTGGCCTGATTTCCTTTTAAAGAAACAGTAAATTGCTTCTGTTCATTTCTCGTTTTCGTCCTTTTTAGGGCCTTTATAGAGAGAATTCATGCGGCTCTTACTCAGAACAGTAGCTCCTTCGCTCGTTCACGATGTGTTTGGTTTGCCGGACAGCCTGCTGCGGAATGATCCGAAGCTACATCCGAGCCTGCCGCTGGCGTTTGGTTCAAGTCACAGAATGGATCCGTCCGTCATCAACCTATAAATACGTCGCTACCCCATCCCTCCCGAAACCATCGGACGACATGGTCCGTGACCAAACCAAACAACGCAACTGTCATCAACCGATCCTACTAGAGTGAACCCATGACGGATGCACTCGTTCTGGGCGATTCGCAAGTTGTGTTTTGCCGGAGCTAGAATCATTTTGGTTTGCGCTACAGTACACAATCGCCAGTGGTGGAGCCACCGCCCTGACACCTCTGTTGGCCGGCTGGGCTCATCGATGAAATCTAAAAAAAAAGATTTTCATTGTATCAAAGAAGAATACGGTAATTTGCTAGATAAATATTTTGCATAGAGGAATGTCCAGGCCCTTAAAAAGGTTTTGGCTCCTCTGTTGATGATCGTGTGGAGCCGAAGCCACCGGGAGCGGCGCCGAACGAGGCCTTAGTTCGTCACTCTCTCCTCTGTTTCCATTCTCATTTTCATTGTGGCGAATATTGGCCCTATCCCTCACTCCCACTCTTGTTTTCATTGATGACAAACGTAGGCCTACACAGCAAGAGTCGGAGGCCTGGTAGATTGTATCCTCCTCTAACACGGCGCCAGATAAGTTTTGGAGATGCAAAGCCGATGCTACACCGCTCATGTCGTGGTTTGGCCGCCTGAGCCTAACTCGGTGCCACGATGCACGCGAGAGCGTGTTGCTCGCCTTCCGGACTTTTAACCTCACAACAGGTACAAAACAATAGACAAGCATTTAAAGTGAGTGATTTTCTAGTCAATTTTTCATACAAAATTAATTGTTTATTGCACCTAGTATTTAATATGAATCTTTAACTTTATTCCAATTAGTTGAAATTAATTAAATAGGGTTGGGGCAAGTCCAATTGAATTTAACATAGATAACTAGCTCATTGGTACGAAGTACGAACTAGCATGGAGGAGGATAGCATAATAAGTTTTGCGTCCACTTGCAATGCACATGCACTACCCGTCCGGCTTACCCAGAAGCCGGCTTGTTCGGCTTCTTTTTTCAGCCGGAAGGGTGTTTTTCTCTCACAACAATTCAGTCAAAACAGTGTTTTTCAGCCAGTTTCAGCCAAAATTCAGCAAGTCGAACGGGGGGCGATAAGTGACCTTCTTCTACCTTAACTTGCCTTCTGCCATGCAATGCATGGGTCAATCAGCTACTAGTTATTGTGTCGCTTTCGTTTTAGAAGAAGAATGCCTAACGTGACCCTGGACTGTTTTTTCACCGTATATCCCAGCGAAGGTTGCGGTCCAATTCGAGTATTAGAATAGAAGTTACATACGTTCTCTTGCTCAGTTTCTCGTTCTCCGTTGTTTGTTTAAAAACCCCTGGACGATCGATCAAGCTCCCCTGTTTGCACCAAAATCCTAGTCCCGCGTCACTTGCGTCCAGACATGGTCTGGCTCACACTTGCACTTACGGAAGCAATCACCCGTTCAAATTTTACGGAAGTACTAGTAGTGTAGCGCACACTTGCACTTAATTACCATGTCGATCCCCTTTTGAAGATACCTTTTGATGTTTGGCAATGAACAACGCAGCCTGTTTTCCGACTCTACACTGTTATAGTTTCAGTGTTTGATTATTGCCTGCTGGCTTTTCGGTTCCACTACCGGTCCTTTTAACATCCTTTCATGCATACTATTGGTCATTAATCTTTTTCAATCAACCCATGGTGTTTAATTATATTCGGACTATTGTGTTTTCAGCAAATTATAAAGAAAACCAGGTTTCGGATTGTTAAGGAGTAGGTGTTGACAGCTTCAGGGCCTCGATCTGATCTTTGAGTCTACTTCCCTATAGCTAGCTAAAAGGAATTAACAAAATATATGAATCGAGTCAAATATTTGATTTTCTTGGCTGATGACCGGGAAAGTGCTTACTACTTATAATACCTTCGATCGAGCTTCTCCTTTTTCGCATTCAGCTTTTCTCGAATATGCAAAAGATTTACCCATCATTGTAATTAAGATAAAAGAGTTTAACCATAAAAACGATACGCTTCTAGCGGCGCCCTAAGAGGTCTGGATGATAGCCGAGGTTGTACCGTCCCTAGCATGTGAAAATCAAGTTCGATATTACTGTATATAACCAATGAACCAAGATATGTACAGTGATGCAACCTAAGTGGTGGCCTTGCGTGTCTCCTTTGCTTTGCTTGCACGATCGACGTCCATGAGGAACGCGTCCGGTGCTTCCGATGTTGGAAGGGGTCAGCTTTAGCGTCGAAGAGCCCCGTAGGCCTTCCGTCCCGACATGCTTGGCATTGATAGACCCGTGGCGAAGCCCATACGTTGCATGATAAGGACCTCACCTCACTTGAAATCAGGTACTTGAGAGAGGCTTTGAGCCGCTGGCTGCTTGCTCCGCAACGGGAGCACCGACTTAGCAAGTGGCAGCTGCTTGGAGGCTGACGAATTAGCGGGGAGTCGACTTTCTTCAGCACTCACTTGGTGAAGCTCTTGAGTCGATGTGCGGCGGATTTGTCGCTGACCTCGTCCTGATGGCCGTCCCGCGACGGCGTACTAAGCAGGTTCAGTTCAGTTATTTGATTTCAACCATTGTATCTTGCCCTCATGTTGGACTCTGATTTATATAGGCCATATTCGCTTGAACTATTTCAGCAGTACTTTTCAGCGAATGAACGGTATTTCTCTCTCACAACAAATCAGCATAAGCCAAATTATCGTAGTTCATAACAACATGGCTGGTGTTTACTACAACTAGGAAAATAAGGTCCTCCTTCATCAAGTTAATATGTGGAACTCACCATTTCCAGCTTATGTGTGCTTGACAAAAAATGGCTTGACCGATGATTCATGTCATTTTCTTGACTATATTCTAGGTGATTTAATAAAGCACCTTATGTTTGCAAGTCAATTATTCAGTTGTGTAAGGAACAATAGTGGTACTAGTATCAACTTTTATTAACAATGCAAATGTAATAGATCACACGAGATATGATCCAACATATGTGAAGCTAAGTTACTTCGATGTTCCTGTCTTTGACAGCTACAGGCTAAAAAATTTTCATCTCTTTTCTAGGAATCATCAGCCTGTTCGCTTGCTCGTAAACGATCGTAAATTTTCAGCCGGGAACAGTGTTTTTCTCTCACACCAAACCAGCCAGCAGTAAATAATCCACGATACGATACGGCCTCCCGAACAGGCTGAATGTCACTGACCCTCTACTGCTTTGAATCTCTTTTTTACAAGAGAGATCCAGGAAACAAAGAAGATTACAACTGGGCTTGTAGACATTGTTCTATCCTTAAAGAAAACAAAGCAAATTCATAGT